ATGACAAGCTAATCTTGAGGAAAAAGTTCCAAGAAGGAGATCAAGTCCTCTTGTTCCAAACAAGGTTTATTCATAAGCATGCCAAGTTGAAGTCTAAGTGGGAGGGACCATATCTAGTGACCAAGGTGTTTCCCTATGGGTTTTGCAACTCTTGAATAAAGCCACAGGTTCCACCATGCAAATCAATGGTCACCTATGCAAGCTCTACAAAGATGCCAAATCACTTCAAAAGGAGGAGGACTTCTCTCAACATGTTTTTGAACCACCATGATAAGGTTGTATCTCTCCAACCTTGAGCTTTTACTTTCCTTTAATTGATATATTTAATGATAGGTATAGTTCAAGTGTGGGGGAGATGAACCTAGTAGGAAAATTAAAGTTTATTTGCTTTATTTACTTCTTTGTTTTGTGTTTTAGTTTGAAAAAAAAAAAGAGAATATCTGCACCACACTTTTGTTATGCATTCATTATTGATCTCACCTTATTTTATCACTAGTCTATACATACATTGAGGACAATGCATGATTTAAGTGTGGGGGAGAGAAATAAACATTTTGTTTTGTTTGTTTGGTTTTGCAAAAAAAAAAAGTTTTTTTGTTTTTTGGTTTTGCAAAAAAAAAAAAATAAAAAAAAAAAAAAATTGCTTTGTTTTGTTTTGTTTGAGGTTACTTAATTGCCTAGCTCTTGAATGGATATTTTGATTCTTGAGATGTGGTAATTTTTAGGATTGAATAGGTGTGAAGTGAATATTCTTTTACCTTGAATTAATGGATTAGAGTGGCATATTACCCTTTCATGGAAGAGGCTAAACACTCATGTGTGATTAATTCCTTAGTGATGTTACCCTCTAGAATTTGTTTCACTTCTTAATTAAGACCACATATCTCGCACTTGTTTGATAGGAGATGAGAGATGGCATTCATAAAAAATAGCCAAAAGCCAAATAGCCAACCTATTATCATTTATTATCCTTTGTTAGCCACTTTGAGCCTTTGGTTTGATTCTTAAAATAAAATATATATATATCTCCCCTATTTTTCCCCAGGAATGCATGTTACACTTTTATATGTCTTTTTAATATTCATTGCATGTCCTAGATCAAATGAGTGGATGCCTATTATTATTTTTCTATCATTACTCTTTATCCTTATTGCTACACCATTACATCCATTACTTCCATTGTTTTCAAAGAGTTAGGGGCAACCAAAAAAAAAAAACAAAGATAGATTTGAAAAAAAATATAGTAAAAAGAAAAGAAATAAAGTTGCTAGAAAAAGAAAAAAAGAAGAAGAGATAAAAAAAAAAGAAAGAAAAAAAAGTTGCCTAGCTCATCCATTCCATTTGTTTTATTATTTCTTATCATTTCTTTCCATCCTCATTGTGTTAAGGTGTTCACTCAATTGAGTTAGGTTATGCTTTGCATATTAAGGGGATATATCTTGATTTAGCATTATTTTGATGCTAACCCTATTTTTTATATACATGCATTTCTTAGACATCCTTTCATTACCTATATCACAACCTAATAAAGTCCACTTGATTCTTGATTGCAAGTGCTATTTAGTGATGGAGATGTAGAAGGGTTACAAATTATAGTAGGGTTTATCCTAAGAAATTTTGAGTGAAATTTAATACCTTATACACTTTGAGTGATGAGAGCAAACACTTAACCTAGAGAGGCTTACTCTTTGACATTGATTCTTGGTAAGGGTTTGTTTGTGATGTGCATAATTCTTTCCTAATTATTGCCACATTGATTGATAATTTGTAGAAGTTCATGAGCTAGTATTTTAGTGACTTGAAACAATGTTTTTCTCTTATTTCTTTGTCTTATAGTTTCTTTTGGGACCTTTTTCACTTGATTTTGCCCGGAGTGCAAAAGCTAAGTGTGGGGGAATTGATAGAACACATTTGTTACCCACTTTTATTTGTCAATTAGGACCATTTTATTAATGATTTATCACCTTCAAGTGCACACATTGCATTAGATTTGGAACTTTGCCTAAGTTTCTAGGTTCAGTGCACTAGGGGCATTTTGGTCCAAAAAATGAACTTTTGAGAAAATGTACAAGAAAAATTGACAAAGTGCATTTTATGTCCAGTTGATGAATGGTGAAATTATATTTTTAAAATTCATTTTAGTTTGGGAGTAATTAAATAAAAAAGTCAACACTTTCTTAAGTGTCTTAGTTTGTCCTAGTTTTTGGTTTGCCTTTGTGTGAAAATTTTTATATAATTTTGTGCAGCCTGAAACTTGGTTAATTTAATAAATTCTCCCTTCTAATTATGAATTTAATTCTGGACATGAATTAGATTTTATTATATCATATGCTATTTAATTGAATTATGTGATTTATGTGACATAGGTGGCATGTGACTTGTGCATCAATTGGGCAATTGAGGTCAACACTCCTTGAGGTCAATGGCTGATGGTTTGCACGTGAATTATGATTATTTTGAGGGATTAGATCAGCTAAAATGATGTGGATGACACATGGAAAATTAGGCACACATTGGAATCATCTACAAACCAATAGGAAGTTGCCACCTTGCAAGTGTGACAAGGCTCCCATTTACATTTTAATTTCTTTTTCCTTATTTTAATTAAGCTTCAGCTGATGGGAGACACCAAGGAGCACGCCATTTTAAGCCCCAAATGGGATCCAACACATATCTCATTCATCTTCCACATTCTCTCTCTCTTGTTCATAGTGTTCTTCATTTTCTCTCTTTGTTCTTCATTTTCCAGCACCCTAACCTCCATTTTCAGCCACCAAACCTCCACAAAACTCATACCATTCTTCTCCTCTCTTCATTTTCATTCCATCCCTTCCATTTTCACAAGGATTGAAGCTCATTTCATCATTCAAGAGCTATGGAGTTTGGCCTTCACAAGCAATCACTAGGGTTCTTGAAGATGAAGATTGGCTAAGTTTCTTTGTGGAATCCTAGAGAGATGAAGATGGAGGATGAGTCTTGAGCTTCAAATTGGCTAAGTTCTTTTGTTTCCTATCCTCTTCTCTTTTTACTAGATGGTTAGATTCCTTAATCTAGGGTTTAATCATCTTAGCTTATAAATTCTAATTTGAATTTGATGTTGATGTAAAGAGAGAGGATTGTTTCATTTAATTTCTTCCTTGGACAGCCATGACTGAATTTTGCCACTCTTTGTTTGGCACATAATCTTGTGTTTTTCAATTAGTGAATTTCTTGTGTTAATATTGCATAATCTTGTGGTGTTAATGCTTGTGTTGTTGAGTAGCTTGACATAATCTTGTGGTTGCTCAATTTATGTGTTTGACCATGGCTGTTGAGAGAGGATTTTGAGTGAATCACTTGGCTAATGTCTTCACCAATTGGTTAATTGAACTAGGGACTTTAATCTAAGACCTAGGGAGGTTAGCTAATTAGGTTAATTGGCTTAGGATAATTTTCTTAAGTCATGACAGCTTTAGTCAAGAGGAAAGGGAAGCTAAACTTAGCCTAATCATGAGAAGATAATGAGTCCAAAATCAACTAATCTCTAGGGTTCCATTATTGTAAAAAGGGAAGTTCATTTCACTCACTTTCACTAGCATTTTAATTACTTGCATATTAGGTAATTAGTTTAGATAATTAGCTAGGTAACTAAATTCCTACAAACTTTGGTTGATTTATTTCACTAGATAACTTTCAATTAGACTTAAAACCATTCCTTGGGAGATGACCTAGGGTTGGCCCTATATTGCATTAGGGTTAGCTTTAGTGTAATTTTGAGGATAAGCAACTAATTTCCTATCACACACAGTCCACAAAGATAAGTAACCAAACGTAGCTGAAGCTATGAAACAACGTGGACACACAGTCTATGGGATAATGCTGACTAAACGTGACTTGAAACCATGAAACAAACGTGAGTATATGCTTTGAATAACCATCCCTCTGTTCCACGTGCGTTAGCCATCGCATGGGGCTAGCACCTCCTATAAACCTTGCTAGCTAGGTGTACCATGGTGCGCCAGGGTTAAAAGAACTACCGTTAGCAACCAGTGTTCTGTAGAAAGTCTCCTTTTTAAAAATCATTTTCAAACATGCAAGAAAATATCACTTTCAAGATATAGTTCTCATTCTCAAAATCAAACTCTCATGAATCATTTCAAATCTTAAAGCTTGCCAGAATAATATTTCATAGCTAAGATACAAGCTTGTATTGGTTGAGTAACCAAGAATTTCCAAAGTAAAATAAACAAAGATGCCTTCGTCGATCTTCAAAATATATTTCATAAAAAATATATACATATACCACAATTTAATTAACTTTCATCATCGTTTTATAATTTCCAAAACCAAAATGATTTAATTAACAAAGTGTATGATAATCATCATAGTTGTTAAATGATTTATATGAAAATGTAATATTTTCAAAACCAGAACTACTTTGATTGAAGAAAATAAATGAGGTGCTATTCACTACCTGAAATTTTTTCAAAGTATAAGGTCCTCCTCTTACCACATTAATCAATTTCCTCTCCTTCCTTCCAACTTCCTATAAAATATATTAGGGCCTTAATAAACTTCTAACAATGCTAAAAAAAACTCTTCCAACAATAATACATACTCTCTCCCTCTCTGTCTCTATATATATATATATATATTTATATAATGACTATAAATTTAAAACTTTGGAACTAAGATTTGCACAAAAGTTCCTTCATAGACATAACTAATTTTCCAATCTACTCAAAAGAACCTCATAACATTTAAACCGTTTATTACATTATTTATCAACAATCGTTCATTTTCAAGAATTCACATAACTACAAGTTAATTTCACAATTAAATTTCCTTTGCAACCTTTAAGATAAGTTTATAGATCAATGACACCCATACAAACTGTGCTTGTTGCAATAATCAATGAAATTTTAGAAAGTACCAAAATTAAGTAAACTCTTCTAACATGCATTTCATCAATACCTTGTGGGCATGAACCTTTAAACTAATACCCATATCTCCCTCATCAATTTCACTTTCCAAAAATTATTAGCTTTAACAATCAAATCAAATTCAACTAAAACTCAAATGATATCATCAACATCTTTTGTTACACACGAGTTTCGACTTAAATCAAGCTTTTCCTTTATATCCGAACATATACGGTTAGGGCCAGCAATAACAGAGGAGAAGAAAGCATCATCCATCATAAACTCACACACATATGGAACTGAGGAAGGGAGATGGAAACTTTTTTTTCTTTTCTTTTTTTTACTCACTATAATGGTAGCAGAGGAATGAAGAAAAGAATTCAAAGCCCCCTAACTCTAGATTAGTCGGAACATAATAGGAAAGAGAAAAGATTTAGCCACACAAAAATGAAGGTAAATGAAGTCAGTGACACTAAAGAGGAAAGAAGAATAGCTCACAAAACAACCCTCCAACTCCAGTGGATTTAGTTCCTCACGCATCCACTGGCAACATACCGTCTACAATAAGGGAGGCAGGCAGAGAAACGAAAGAGGAGGAAGATTTGGAGCAACCACACAGCAGCATAGATGAAGCTCTCGCTCTTGTCGATGGAGAGCTAACTAGGGAGGAGGAATGACAAAGGATGTCGGTGAACATGCTAGAACTGGAGAAGAGCAGCAACTGAGGGTTCTCGATTTTTCTTCCTCTTCTCTCTCTGGTATCTGTCACGAATGTGAACAAGAAAAAAGGGAAAAAACTGTGGTGAGCAAAATGATAATTTAAAAGGCTGGAGGTATAAAATAATGCCCCACTAAAATTTAGGATCTGTAGGTGGGCAAGTAACATAACTTTCATTAGAATGAAATTCCTTTCAATATATTTTCCCTAAAAATTAATAACAATAAAATCAAAATATTTAATAATAAAATCAAAATATTTAAAATAAATTTTTAATTTTTAATTTAGATTTCAGGGTTATTACATCCTTGCATGAAGTATGTTCAGCCGGAGGACCAACCAACCTTGGATGTAATCTTCTTTAATTTCATATCCACCAAATCCAATCTTCCCTTCACACCATCTTTAGACTTGCTTGGTATGTCAAGAAGCATTCCAACAATACTATCACACACGTTCTTCTCCATATGCATAACATCAATACAATGTCTTAAATTAAGATGGCACTAATATGAAAAGTCAAAGAAGATAGATCTCTTTTTTCATATACTTTTTTCATTATTCTTTATAGTTTTTACAAAGGTAACATTGATGTCTTTTACCTGTTCATAAACCTACTCCCATGTTAATGGTTTTGGGTCAGTTTTTATGCTCTTGACCACTATAAAAAGCTTTCCTCATTTTATGATAATAGTGATCCTCTTTAAGAAATCTCCTGTGGCCAAGATAGACCATCTTTTTCCTATGATGAAGTTGATGATAGTATGTACCTACTTCACAAATCGGACATGCTTTATGCCCCTTAACACTATAACCTGACAAGTTTCTATATGCAGGAAAGTCATTTATAGTGCAAAAGATCATCGCATATAGCTTGAATACCTCCTTTCAATTTGCATCGAACACATCCACACCTACTTCCCACAACCTTTTCAAGTCTTTGATCAAGGGTCTTAGGTAAACATCAACGTCATTTCTCGGTTTCTTAGGTCCTGAAATGAATATAGACAACATGATATACTTGCGTTGCATGCACAACATGGGAGATAAGTTGTAAATCACCAACAGAACAGGCCAAGAACTATGTATGCTACTAAGGCTGCCATAACGATTTATGCCATCCGTACTAAGTCCAAGCTTAAGGTTCCTTAGATCACTACTAAACTTGGGAAATAAAGTGTCAGTTTTCTTCCACTGCTCTAAGTTAGCTAGATGTCGAATCTTTCCATCTGAAATCCTCTCATCACATGCCATCTCAAATTCTTCACATCCTTTTCATTAGCAAATAATCGTTTAAACCTTAGTATAATTGAAAGATACTATAGAACCTTTGCAGGAGCTTTGTTTTCTTTATACCATGATGTCTCAGATACTGGACACTTTTGCTCCTCTTTATGTTCTTTCCTATTTAGTATGCAATCATTTGGGCATGCATGTATTTTCTTGAACTCTATTCCCAGTAGGCATAGAATTTTCTTCACCTCGTAGTAATAAACTGGTAAACACATTTTCTTTCAGAAGCATTAATTTAAACAACTCAGGCATTTCTATGAAACTCTTATCGCTCCACCCGGATCTAGCTTTCAAGTTTACTAATTCCAACACTGCTTTTAATAGACTAAATTCTTCACACCCTAAATACAAAGGTGTCTTTGCATCACTGCATATATTATTGTATGCTTGAGATTGCTCAAAAGCCTCTTTACCAATATCATGGATCATGTCCTCCAACCAATCAACCATATCATCACTGTCATCAACAACAACATCAACATCCCGCAATTGAGATGTACTTGGCATCGGCATATTCAGCCTTTCATCATGCCATATCCACACTTTACAACTTTTGAAAAACCCCTCACAAATTAAGTGTTTATATATCTTATCTATACTTAGTTGCCTCTTATTTAAACAATCCCTACAAGGACAATAAAACTTTCCATTATTATCTTCATCATTGCTTTGACAAATTTCAGAAATCCCTTAACCCCATTAGCATACTGTAAGCTCGTTCCTTTGGCATCTATCCAACTATAATCCATGTTTAATTTGTCTTCTTAAAACATGACACAATTCATGGATTATCACTAAATCATTAGGATAGGGCCAAACGACAAGTTATATATTAAGAATGAGAAACAAGCATACTAATGCAATAATTTTCAATTTAATTTGAAAATTTTTAATTTTTTTTGAGAATATTTTTTAGAGTTGACTTCCCTCCTATCTAATAAGTATACGCCAGAGGGAAGCTAACTTTATATTTTTTTGGCCCTTTCCATATAAAATAAGGGGTAAAACAATAATTTTTTTAAAATAATTTGGCAAAATTTCTCCTAAAAATTGAACTTTTTACTAAATTTACATTTGAAAATATAAGAAGAAAATAATATTATTAAACTAAATAAACTCGCATGTAATGCCTAATGGCCTTAGGCCTCTATAAGCACTCCACTAGCATACAAACGATAAACTAGTAATGATGTCAGAACAATTTAATTTACATGAAATAAACAACCTAATAGAATTTATATAGGCACAACCCATTTCCTTATAGTAATTTTTAATTCATATTAATTTGTAACAACTTCCAAGCATCCAAATATGACTTCTAAATGATATTATATCTTATAAATTATCAACTACATAACTTGCAAGAATTCAAATTTCACTTAGGATTTCTCAATAACTTTTTAAATAAATTCCTTTACAAAAACTTAGTTTAGATTTACAAATAAATAATATCTAAGGTAGTTCATGCTTCTTGTGGGATTATAAGAGTCACTAGTACATAATCAAGCAAACCTTCCTAATAGGCATTTTATCAAATACCTTGCAAACATGAATTTTCAAATTTTAATATTATAGCCTCTTCTCTTCAAATTTCATGTTTGCAAGAATTTTACAATAATTCACACACATTTGTATATCCTAATAATTTCTCCCAAATAATTTTACAATGCCAATGCTTGAATAAATCCATCTTGCTTATACCTCTACCATCCACACATTCGCACAGCACATAGAAATGAAAAGGAAGGATTAGTTTCATAACAATTAATTCTCACCCACATGCACAAATTAAGCAAAGAGAGGAAAATTTCACAACTTCACCCATTAAAATATTCATGCACAGATTTGAAGGGCATAAGAGCTTGAAGCCCTCAAGCTTAAATCAGCAATGACAATAGAGGAATAGAGAAAGAACTCATTAATGGAAGCAAAAGATGATCTTACCCACGATAGTAGTTACAGTGACACATGGATAGAGGAGGAATGAGGATGAAGATTCTGACCACTCACAACACCAGCAACAGACGAATAGGTGAGCACCTGATAAACTTGAATGCATTTCAATGGATGAGCACATGATGAACAGAGAGGGCACCGTGAGAAGGAGATAATGGTGATGAGGCAAACTGTAAAGAATGAAGCACAGTGAGACTAAGAGAGATAGAGGTAAACAGAGGCAGATAGAGATGATGGGGAAGAGAATAGGCAGATAGAGGAATTTTTGATTTGGCGAGAAGAGGTGGATTGAGACAAGATGAGAGCGAGAAAAGGTGGACTGAGGAAACAAGGGTAGATAGTATTGAAATTTAAAACAATATCTACACTGGTTATAAGAAATAACCGGTTTAGATATGGAATAAATTGATTTAAAAAAAAATATAAAAGCATATCTACACTAGCTACCATAATTAACTAGTGTAGTTACGTCAAAAACAATTTTTTTTACAAAAATCACATCTAAACTGGTTACCCTACATAACTGGTGTAAATATGTTAAAAAGAATTTTTTTAAAAAAAATAAAATGAACATCTATGCCGGGTAGAAATAAACCCAATGTAAATGTTGATATCTACATCAGTTGCATATAAGAACTAGAATAGATATTGAATCAAACAAATTTTTATTTATAAAAATGTCACCACCTCTAATTTCTACACCGTAGGCATTATAACTAGTGTAGATAATAGGGTTTAGATATCTTATTTTTCACTAGTGAGTAATTAAGAACAAAATTATACTTTTATAAACACTGTCATGGTAGAAAAGAAACTATCATGATAAAAAAGGATAAAACCATTCACTTTTAAATCACTATAATGGTAGAAATTAAAATAGTCTATCATGATAAAAAGGAGTCAAACCAATTTTACAAAGATTTACTATCGTAGAAAGGAGTAGTCTACCACTATAGAAAGAAGTTAACAAGATAAATGAGACTTACCATGGTAAGTAGAAGTTTTCTAACTAATAATATGTACCAAAAATGAGATTCCACCAAAAATAGATGTTTATAAATCCAAAATATTAAGGTAAGCCAAAAAGGGTATTTAAATGTCATGCCCCAAAATAAAACATGACTGGCATGGGATATGTGTACTAAATACATATCCCTTAAGCCTTAATTCAAGAAACTTCTAGTTTGATATTTTCAACTCTTTAATAATAGGATTATAAATTCTTATCATGCTTTTCACATAGGTAAAAAGAATCATACACTAAAACAATAAATTTTTATAACAACAAATTTATAATAACTCATCAACAGGACCTCTACTCCTCAACAAAACAATCAATGTATATAAAAAGTCAAAATCCTATCTATTGTTAGTGAATAGGACATGAAGTAGACTGTATAAAAAAATAATAATAATAATACATAAGTTCACGTTTAGATCACATTGAAATTTGTATAAAGAAATTCTGCTACTTCATATCAACGATAAAGTCCTCAATAATTAACAAGAGATACAAGTCTAGTTATTATCTAAGTCCAAAATATTTTTCAATGGATAACATCCCAATTTAAAATTAAACAAAATAAAGAGAATGTGTTAGGATAGGCTGCTACCCAAGAGGAAGGTGAATTGGGTGATACTTAAAAACTGTTGAAAATTTGGGAAGAGTGAGGAGCTAAAGAGTGAAGGAAGAAGATAACACACTCGAGATTTATATTAGTTCAACCACAAACTTTGCCTACGTCTAGTCCTTAAGATCACACTTGAGATTTTCAACTAAAATCACAAGTTTTAATGGGTGCTTGCCACCACAGCATAATTCTAAAGACCAATCTTATCTTGATTCACTTAACAAACACTGTTACAATCCAGCAAGTTGTTGCAAACTCTTAAAAAGTCCCTTTTCAAGATTTTTGAAAAAATAGTATAAACTTTTTACAAAAGACTCTTTTAAAGAGTAGACAAGAATACAAATAAAAGCTTATAAACCTTTGAGAGCTTTTCATAATTCTTTTCCAGAATAATGAGTGAATGCAATAATTAAAAGCACAATTTGAAAGCTCTTTAAATGCATAAATGATAATATGTTTACTTAAAGATTATTAGTTCTTCTAATTCAAAATGAATTACTTATATAATTTTTGAAAGTTGATAGACCGTTGAAATAATGATTCTTTCTGTTAGGGCATTTTCTTGTGAGTGACTGTTATAATCATACATGATTTTTCACTGAAGAAGTTTCATAGAACTGAATGTGATGGATCATGCATGAACACCTTGTCTTCTCACATGTGGTTTTACACTTCTGAATAATCATTTAGTTCTGTGTGCCTAAACATGCGTGGTATCTCATTGCTCTCTCGTGTAGTCTAATACTGAAGAATATACATTCAGTTCTGGGTGCTAAAACTCACGTGGTACCATATTGCTCTCTTGTGCGATTTAGCACTTAAGAATATACTAGCATATCAGAATGATAAAACTTGCGAGTACACTATTTACTCTCACTCGTGGTTTTACATATAATAAACTATCATTAGTTCTGTGTGACAAATCACACTTGGAACCTCTACTCTCTTATGTGTGAAATGGCTAGTAGAATGCCAAAGCCATTTTATGTGATCAAAACTCACGTGGAATCAGAATGATATCACAAGTGAAATTGCAAGCAGTAATGCATAAACTTGCCTGATGCATATTCATATATGAAACAATGCAAAACTCAAGCAAGATTTGCATGACTAAGAGATATAGATTAGTGAATTAATGATCATACATGTGAACAATTTTAGCTTGACTTGAGAAGATTTAAAACTCAATAAAGCAAAGTGTGATTGTGCAACAAGTGACAAATCACATGTGGCTACCATCAGTTTCACATGTGATTTTGCACTTTGTCACAATATAATGAAGCACAGATGCATGGACAATAAAGCCTTTCGTGCTTGATTTTGCATACAGAGACAAAGCTTAAGGCAACATACAACACAAGTGTTTAATCACGTGTGAAGCACTTCTTCACACTCACGTGATATAGCTGTCAGTGTGCCTAACATGCAAAAACTTATGAGTGACTTGTAGAATTACATGTGATTCTGAGTCTCACCATACAAATCTTTTTCATGAGAAACCATACACAAGACATTTTGTGTTTAAGAAAAGTGATTAAGCTTTCTAAATTTTTGCATTGAATCTAAGAGAATTTAAATTACTTAACCTAAATCTTCTCTTGATTCTTCATACTCTTGAGTTTTGTCTTCATCCATGATTCTTAATATCTATAGACATAACAAATACCTCTTCTCTTGATTTTATAATCATCAAAATGCATGATCTAACATCTGTATTAATGATGTAATTAGGAATTTAATAGAAATATCCACTTGAAAATAAATTAGAAACCCATACCTCATAGGCCATAAGATTCTATGTAAATATGTAAATCATAGAGGAATGAATCGAAATAATGATGACATAGCATTAGAATTTCACTTACATGCTACAATATGTGTTTTAAACAATTAATAAATATGCGACTCATTTCAAAATCCATACATATAGAAATATAGCTCAACAAATATCATCTTGAATAAGTGATAAGCTTCAAATTCATTAATTTTTTAATGGAACTTGATCAAAATGATTAACAACTATGAACACAAAGTTCATGAAGATAAAAAACCAAAAATCATAGACACACAATCCATAAAGGTAAGTAACTAACAAGAACATCTTAAAGTCACGAAACAAGTGCAGGCACAAAGCTCATGAATAACAAGCATGGGTATATTGCTCATGAATACTGAGCTACTGTGGCTTAACCATAGCATGTCAAGGGCTAATGAAACTATTGTTAGCAACCAACATTTTGAAATTAGTCCCTCAATAAAAACCATGCATGCATGCATCTAAAAATTAATATTTTTATCTCTTCACATCATAATCATCACAAACAATTCATCTCTATTCTTCCACGCATGAATCATATTAATAAATCATTTCTCAACTTATGAATCAAAATTATCGATGATGTCAAATAATTAAGAATACCTAATCATAAAGCAATTTTATCTTTCCTTTGCAAAGTTTAATAAAATGAAAGTATTTCATTTTAAAATAGTAAAAAACAAAAATGAAGTTATATTAATATGCTAGTGAAAGTTTAACAATATGTAATAAAATCTAATTAGCTTATAAAACAATTGGGATGCTATTTACTTACCTGTAGAGTTCCCAAATCCAAATATGTACTTCTTTCAACTCCTATTAAATTTTTCTTCTTCCCAACACTCTATAAAATCCCTTCTAACATTAACACAATCATAGTCAGCTTAGATACTTTAAAGTTTTCCAAAACACCATCATTTATATCACAATGTTTTTCCATAAATACTTCAGCCATAGCTAATTATTTAATCAAGAGTATGTGTTCACACCACCCTTAATCACTCTATTAATCCATAATTCTTCCGTTATCCATTTTATTGAATAGCTTATGTGCATCCTAAAATTAAGTCATAAAATAGTACCACAGTTTATATATTCACAAATGTACAACTCTCAATAAATTAACTAATTTCACATATAAATATCAATCAAGCCACTTGGAAAATACATAATCAAATAAAACTTCTTCTAACAGGAATTTTATCGAACATCTTGTAGGCATTAACCTTTAAATTTAATTATAAGCTTCTCTTTAAATCTCATTCCAACAATTTTCCAAAAATTTCTTATATTCTTATTTGAATTAATCATCTTCCACATTTTCACTCCTTCAACCAAACATTCAATTGACAAATTGAAAAAAAAAATAAATCTATCAAGCTTCTCATAGATTGAATGAAAGTTTAGAAAATACATACTCAAACAAAAATCCTATTCCAAGACTATAACTTAGATAAACCTCAAATTTTCTCCCCCATCTCAGCAGCCAACAATCATAATCCAAGAAGAGAAGAATAGAGCAAGTCTTTCATACCAAACAATAGTGACATCGAAGGAAGAAGAGAAGAACTCAGTGAAGATGAAAGACGAGCTTTCACTAGTCCAAAATATGAAGTTTATGGGGTACTTTTTACAACAGTTGGAAGGCAAACAATGTAAAAAATAAAGGCGGTGGTATTTTTGTAATTCTGTTGAAGTATTTGACACTTTTTACATCGGGTAGACCTCCACTTGGTGTAAAAAACTAACTTTTTACATCAGGTAGACTTACTCGGTGTAAAAAGTAACATTTTTACACCGGGTGAGTCTACTTGGTGTAAAAAGTGGGTTTTTTACACTAGGTGGCCATGCATTCGGTGTAAAAAAGTTACCATTGAATGGGAAGATTTGGTTTGACTTTTGTCAAATAATCAGCTTACCACATCACACATTGAACTATTTATAATGTAAAGCATATTTTTCTTTAATATAATTGTATTATTGTAAGTAAATTTAATCATCAAGTTTAGTAAACTGATATAATTGCATTGTTGTAGGTACCTTCATCACTTGTGCATTATATCGGGCAAAAGTGATAAGTTTGGGTTTCTTTGCCCTCATATAAATTTTTTTTATTTTCTTGTATATAATTTTCAACATCGGCTTTATAACCGATGTAAAAATTTTTGTTTTTACATCGGGTTTATAACCGATGTAGAAAGATGGACTTTCTACACCCCCTGGAACAATATTGTTTCTTTAACTGCTGTAAAAAGTTATTTTTAATTGCTACAAAAAGTCATTTTTGTACTAGTGTTCACACCAACCCATGGACGATGCCAATGAAGAAAGAAGGAGAAGGTCTTCGACTTGCAAAAACAATTAGAGAGTAGAGGAGCAGAAAGGAAACGAAGAGCTTAGCAAATCCAAATCACAAAGGGGGGGGAAGAAGAGTAGTGGCAAACAGAGTTACCCTTGCCAGGTGATACTGAGGATATATGGAGGATGAAGGGGAGGACAACGCAAAGGGTTGGGTGTTTTTTATTTAGTTGAAGTTCTCTCTCCTTCTAAACTATTGTGGAGCATTGAATTGGATTAAGGAAGAAAAGGAAAAATTATCTTAATGCTGTTGAGGACAGAGTGGTGATTTCTAAAGGTTGAAAAAATAATAAAACTCCTTGCGACACTTCTATGATTCAAACTTAGGACTTGGTAGATGAGTTGTCAACATAATTTCCACTAAGTCAACAATCCTTTTTGATATATCTCATCACAAAATTAATAAAATTATATTCAAAATAATATTTCATTAATTTTAGTCGTTACTATCTCCCCCTCCCCTTAGAGATTCAGTCCTCTAAATTTAAAAAATGCAATCATATGCCTCAGTAACATAACTTTGATCATTATCCAAACTTTATGTTGTGTTATAATGTGAGCGATTAATTTAAGAGAAAATACTCCAATCCCTACCTCATCCAAAGAGCACTTATCACTTTTAAACAACAAACCTAGTCTTGCTTTGTGGAAGTTCAAGTAATCCCCCTCACAAGTTCTTCAACCATTTATGAATAGCATTAGAAGAGTTGAATAGGTAGAAGCTATTACACTTCAATTAATTTCTCAATGATATTTTCTCAAGCCGATATATAGAATAGTAAGTATATCCAATGGAGCAAAATAAACATGTAATTAATTACATGTCTCTAATGCTTTGCTTCTAAAACATTACACCTCATTTGCAGTCACAACAATTCTCAGTCTTTGGATTGGACAATTATAATTATACAATTCATTTAATAACATGAAACTTAATCCTTGAACATGTAACAGCAAGAATAGTACTTTCCTCTAATTTCAAATCAAGTAAAATACCTACTTCTTTAAGATTTAAAAAAAAATTTAAGCATCAAACCATTACCTTATGGAAAACTAAAGTTAAAATGATCAATTTCTTGGGTCAAAGAAAAATTCACATACCTAAAAAAGGAGATATAAGTTTCTCATACAAAATTATAGCCACATGAGCATTTTCTTTTTCTTTTTCGTTTTACGTTGAAAATAAAAAATATACATTACCTTACCCACAAGCCTTCTTTATAAATAACATAATCAAACAATCTTTCAAGCTTACACCAAAACGTAAGTGCAAACAATCAACTAAAACGTTTTTTCAAAAGAAAAAAATTAAGAGGTTCCAGAACAAGTCAAACAATTGATTTTTATATTTTATTGGATACAGAACAAGTCAAACAATCTCTTCAACACATTAAGAGGTTCCAGAAACAGTGAAATGCATCCTTGTAATTGATTTTCTCAATCTAAAATAAAAATCCACATATGCTTTCAGCCAAAGAATATATCTATGATCATTCAGACGTTGCTAAGATACAGATTTAGAGGAAGATATTTATGGAGTGGATTACAAAGAATTCCAGCTGGTGACTCATAGGAAAAAAGTGGATACAAAAATCTACAAAAGACAAAAATAAAAAGAAAAAGCAAGATAGAAACCAGAAAAGAAAAGAAGACAAGCTAAAAGTAAAAAAGTTGCTAGAAGACAAGCCGAAAGCAAAAGGCGAAAGAAGAAAGCAAAAGCAAAAGTCTCGAGAAAACAAACACTCGTGGCAGACAAAAGCAAAAAAAAAAAAAAATCACAGGTGAAAATTAAAAGTAATATAACTATAATTATAAGAAAAATAATTAAAATTTACCAATCAAGAAATTTTGAAGTTCTATAAATTTAAAAGTACTTGATGCTTACAGGCATTGGGTTTTTTTCACCTCTCTCACTCTTGTGCTCCATCCCTCTCACCTCTTACTTGTATTTTCCTTCATCCTTTCTTCCGCCACTTCCTTCATTGTAAGCATCCATTGTACCTCTCCTTTTATATTAATAAAATTTCAAGTTTTTGTACTCTTTGACTTTTATACGCAAGATCCCACTTCTCATCTTGGTATCAAAGAAAATATATGAAGATACAAAATAAGGAAGATTAGAACTAGGAAAATTTTGTGAGCAATATAGATTTAAGAAAATTCAAGCTCCATCTAGAAAAAATAAGAAGAAAAATTATACACAAATACCTTATAGAAAACATAGAAAAAATAAACAATATTTTCCTCAAAAATATAAAAAAACCTTTTAGAAAAGATAAATCTTTCAAGAAAGATAAATATGAAAAAGACAAAAAAGATAGTGTGTTATAGATGCAGTAGATTTGGTCATTATTCTAATAAATGTAAAATAGAAAAGAAAATTAGAGAGTTATAGATAAGCATAGAAAACAAACAAAATTTGTTAAGAATTATGATGGAAAGTGATTCGAAATCTGAAGAAGAAAAAGAAGTGTCATGCCTAAAACATGGGAGTGACCGGTAAAGAATATATATATATATATATATATAACCCATATCCCTCAGCCTTAATTCAATAAACTTCTAAATTAATATTTTGAACTTGTTAATAATGAGATTAGAAAACTTTTACTGCATATATTATAAACAAAAAGAATCATATACTCTGTAAAAATTTAACAGAACCTCCAAATTTTTTACAAAACAACAACAACAACAATTTATAATAGATCAACAACAAGGAACTTCACTCCTTAACAACAATCAACTAACTTATACAAATGGATAGAAAACTTTTACCGCATATATTATAAACAAAAAGAATCATATACTCTGTAAAAATTTAACAGAACCTCCAAATTTTTTCAAAACAACAACAACAATAATTTATAATAGATCAACAACAAGGAACTTCACTCCTTAACAACAATCAACTAACTTATACAAATGGGTTGAGATCCTAGCTATATCAATGAAGAGCACATGACCAAACTATAAAAATAATAATTAAGCTCACAATTAGACCAAGTAATTAGATTTATCCAAAGAAATTCTTCTACTTTAATTCAGCGGTAAAGCTCTCAATGATCAACTGCAGATATAGGTCTAGCTATTGTCTAAAGCCAAAATATTTTTTAATGAATAACATCCCAATTATAGAAATTAAAGAATAATAAAATAAAAACATAATAAAGGAAACATGTGACTACTTCAAAGAAGTAATTTAATATAATGTAAACACCTTGTTTCAAGATAAAATAAAAGAAAAAATTCCGTGACTTGGCCATATAAACAACAATATATATCCATCATTACTCATTTTCAATTTGCATAAACATAAATATAAAATCAACATCAAATCATGAATCATTAGAATAGTAAAATGAAGATTCTAGTAAACTTGTAAATAAGAATCAAATAAAATCATATATATAATATATGACTTAAAAATAAAATTTTGTTTTATTGGGACTTTACCAGAACAGATAACAAACATGGATATACAGTCCACAGAGGTAAATAACTAAATGTGATTTAAGCCACAAAGACAAACGTGGGCACACTGTCCAAGAGGATAACTAACCAAACGTGGCCTAAGCCATAAAATCAAACATAGGTACAAGACCCACAAATAACAAACATGAGATTAGAACTCATGAAAATAGAACTAGCTAGTCATTGATCATGGTGCGCTAAGGGTTAACAAAGCTGCTGTTAGCAACCATTGTTCTGTATATAGTCCTTTTAAAAATAATTTTTGAACATGTGAGAAAGTAATCACTTTCAAAATATAAATCTATTTTTTTAATATCAAACTCGCAAGAATCATTTAAATCATCAATCTTCTAAATATGAAAATTCATAATTGTAATATAATTTTCTTCACCAATTTCCATGATCGTCGATCTTCATCAAATAAAAGATTGCTTGAATGTGTAAAAACATTTTCTTAAATCTAAAATGTACCTTTTACAAGAGGATGTACATACACATAAAAAAATTTGTCTATCTTTCACTGTACATACTATGACTCCACAAGCTAAGGTAATTTCATTAAAAAAAATATGTCCAACACTTGAAATAGTACACATGATCTATTTAAGAAAAATAATACTTTAGTAAAAAGAAATTTATTAGTAAATTAATTGGGATGTTATCCACTTACCTGTCATATTCACAAATCCAAATATTTACTTCTTTTAACTCCTATCAAGTTCCTTTTCTTCTCAACACCCTATAAGATATAAGAGGATTTTCAATATATAGATTTTCTACAAGTTCAATAAATCCCTTCCAACATTAACACAATCATAATCAATTTATACGATTCAAGTTTTCCCGAACACCATCATTTATATTGAAAAATTCCTCTAAAATATTTCAGCCATAGCTAAACATTTGATTGAGATATAATCCTCTCTCAAACCTTTCAACAAACACATGGTGTGCATCAATTCCTAATTTAATCAATTGAGATTCTTAACCCTTGCCCAATAATTTTCAATATCAACATTTAGATTTATCATACTTTCTAAATTCATATCCCATCAAGAATTAATTTAAACTCATAAAATCCAAACCCACAACCATCCTCCTCAAGCAATAGCAAAAACAATGGAATTATTTATCAAAAATATCCTCTTTAAACCTAAATTTCATTTTGTCCGAATCCAATTTACTCTCCCATTTACGCATCAAGCAAGAACAATGAGAGTGCATCAGTTTCCCCCTATCCAAGTAACCCATTCATCACAATTAGTTGTTACCATAAACCAACGTCCATTCATCAAATTTCATTAAACACTTCATGTACATCCAAAAACCAAATTATGAAATAATACCATGGTTTATAAGTTATCAACCATACAACAACCAACATACTCTTTAAATCTCTTTTCAAAAATAATTTTTTGAACATTCAATTAAATTTTCTATGCTTCCAAAATTCATCTCTTTATCTAAAATAAATTTAAATCCACCATATCAGTCCTTAGTATATTGAATATAGTCAATAACTCCACTTCAACTCTTCTAGATACTTTATCAAACATCTAGAGTGCATTAAAAATTCAAAGTATATCATCAAGCTTCCTACTCTAAAAATTTCAAACCACTTACAGCTTCCAAACAACTTCATAAATTTAAATCTATTGAGACCAATACCCAAATCCTTCATACATCATAATAGATCATGATTGAAGAATCAAATGTGCTACAAAACACAGTAGAAAGGGAAGGTTTCTTTGAGCTTACCCACCATGCAAATAGGAAAAAGAAGGAAGAAGCATAAATAGAGATAGCACAGAGACAACACAAACAGGGAAAGACATGGAAGAATCTGGAAACCTCTGGCAGTAAAAGATCTCCTACTTCACACACGCATAGGCAACGTACGGATGAAGAAGAATCCAGAATCTAGCAACACATTGACACCTACAGTAAGACTTGAATGAAAGAGGGATTTTTTTAATGCAAAACAGAGGGAGAAGTGAATCAGGTGACCTCGGATGATGATGTCTAGAAAATTGCTTACCCACTTGCTCTCATTGGTGACGAAGGGAGGAGAATGAAAAATGAAAGCTATGGATGATCGAAGCGCGCGCGCTCTCTCTTTCTTGGTTGCACACACTCCAAATGGTCATAGAAATGGAGAATTTCGAGAATAAAAATTTGAAAGTGGGTTTATGTTTTGTTTTTTTAGGGGAATTTGGGTACTTTCAAGAAAGTGAAGCAAAATAAAATTTCGTCATTTGCATTATATGGATTCCAACCCATAACTTAAAGGAAAAGTTACCATCCAACTTTCCACTAGACTATCGATGTTTTTTGTGATTTTTGTTCCAAAATTATAAAATAAGATCAAAATATGCTATTAATTAATTAATTTTTTTCAAGTCATTACAAGAAGAAGAAGAAATAGAAAAAATTTTGAACATTAAAGAATTAGAAAATGATAGTGAATCATCATCTTTAGAAGAATCTGAAGAAGATTGCATAGGAAAAGGAATTTGTGGCTATACAGAAAAATTGATAATAAACATTTTGGATAGAGAAAATTTAGAATTTTGAATAGAAATTATAGACAAAATCCAAGATGAAGAAATTAAAGACAATATTTGCTTAAAAAAAACATTATAGACATAGAAGAAAAACCTCAAACCTCTAAAGATTCAATAAGCATAAAGGATATATTAAAAAGATTTGAGCCAGATCAAGTTAATCCAGTAGGAATAAAATAATTACAACAAGAAATAGAGCAAATAAAGCAAGAAATAAAAGAATTAAAGGAAAATTAATCTCAAAGAGAAATAGAATTATTACAAATAAAAGCTTTAATAGAAACAAATAAATCTTTTAATAGACAAATTGATAAAGATGAATAAGACATAAGTGAAATCCCAACAGACATAGACCAAAATAGATATATGAATATAATCTCACAATGAACTTATAGAAAATAAGTATTGTCAAGTGAATTTAGTAATAAACCAAGAATTCTCTAGAAATATAGTTGTCTTGATAGATTCAAGAACTCCGCCTATGTTTATAGCCGGTCCCAAGCCCGGGTAAAAGAGGAGGGTTGTGTTAGGCCATCAACAGCCAATGTAAAACTTTATTGAATCTATCATGAACATGGACAATAGACGTTATAATATTAATGCTAGGTCGTTGCCCGTAAGTAACGCGCTGCATGGCTCGAGTACAGTGATAAGTGAGTTAGAGCCGCTGCATCAGCGCCCGGATGTAGTGTTAAATGAGCAAGGGCTACCGTGTCATTCTGGACGTGCGCGGCTAAAGAGGTTAGTCCATGAGAGCAAAATTAGATTTGGTACTTGGAATGTTGGGTCATTAAATTGTAAATTTGTAAAGGTTGTAGGGGTTATGATTCAAAGGA